GTCCTTCCAACCTCAGCCAGTCTGGGATTCTCTTTTTGCATCTCTGTCTCAATCCTTCTGTTCCAACCCTTCTTACTCCTAACTCTCAAGCATCTTGTGGCATCCTAGAAGTGGTGTCAGATCCCTGTTGGGAAATGTTCCTGGTTGCAGCCACATAAACAGCAAATTCTGTGGCATGGGCACGTATCCAGTGTAGATTGGAACCATGTGACCACAAGCTCAGTGTCCCAGGAATGGGATTCAAACCCTCCTTGTTAGAGAAAGGTCATTTAAATGTGCCTCCTGCCTGGCTTTTTGGGGACTGGTGGTGTGACTGTCCAGAAGGAGATCACCTGCCTTGCTGTTGACCTGTCCTCTGAAGTACCTGGGCCACTGCAGTCACCAACTTCTCACAGGTGAGGTCTCCCCAGCTGGAGCCTTCTCCTCTCAGCTGCCCCAGCCCAACTCTCTCCTGCTGGGCTCCCAGCAGAGGGGTTCCCCCCTCGGGGCATTGCTGGGGCTCCTCTGGCCCCGCTCCAGCAGCTCCCTGGCTCTGCTGTGCTGAGGACTCCAGAGCTGCCCCAGCACTGCAGGGGGGGCTCCCAGGAGTGGAGCTTGTGCAGGTCCCTTTGGATGGATCCCATCCCTCCAGCGTGTCGATGGCTCCACTCAGCTTGGTGTCATCTGCAGAGCTGCTGAGGGTCCCCACGACCCCACTGTCCATGTCAGGGATGAAGAGCTTTCCAGTCAAGGTGCTGGGAGTTCACTGGTTTCTGGAGTTTACTTCCAGAAGCATCTTGGGTCTTCCAGGGAGGATCCTTGTCCAAGAGCTGGCCAGAGCCTGAGCTGTCCTGTGCCTCTGGCCCTGCAGAGCAGGAGCAGGACAACCCCAGGGCCATTCTCTTCCAGACTCTGCTGTGGGATGTGAGCAGCCAGGCTCTGCCCCCTTCTTCTAACGAGCCTTTTATTTTTCCTTGGTTTCTTTTCTGGTGTCATTTCAGGAGCACTTCTGGAGCTTAGACAAGACAGAAAACAAGATCCCACCGCAGCTCATCTTCCAGATCTGGGACAATGACAAGTTCTCTTTTGATGACTATCTGGGTAAGTCAGGAGAGGCTTTTGGCTCCATCCCTGCTGGGGTAGACAGGAAAGGAAAAATGATTGACTCCTTTCAGGTTATTAAGGAAGGGTAACAAGAGCAGTTTGAGCCACTGAAGACTCAGTGTCAGCCCAAGTTCAGGGCTGATGATGAGTGGTTGGTATTCAGCAGATTTCCAGTCTCAGCCTGCAGCAACCTGTTCCTGGGCTGACATCCTGTTCAGAGCATCATCAACCCCAACAGAGCCACCACTGGAAGGCCCCAGTTCTCTGTGACCCACCTGAGTCTGTCCCAGAATGTGCTCACCAGGGCTGAGAGCACCAGGCAGGGTCACTGACCTGCTGTGCCTGACCCAGGGTGTTTAGCCATGAACTCAACTCAGTCCATCATCCTCAGCAATCTAGATGAGATAAAAAACCCCCCAGCCCCAAAACCCTCTAATAGGAAGGAGAGTGGGGCCATGCAGCAGAAGCTGGAGGCTCCAGCATGACAAGATTTTGGCTGGATCTTGTTCTACTGTTCTTTTTGCCACTAAAAAGAAGAAAAAAAAGAACATCAAAAGCTTCCCTTAGGAACTGGGTGATTAAGATCCTCTTAAATCCTGTCCTTGATTAATTCCATGGACTGAGTTCCAAAATAACCTCTCCATGGCACTTCCTTGCAGGCTCCATTCAGATGGATCTCAACAAGATGCCCAAACCTGCCAAGACAGCTGAGAAGTGCTCCTTGGAGCTGGTGGATGAGACCCTCTCTTCCAGTCATTTCGTGTCACTCTTTGAGCAGAAAACTGTCAAAGGGTGGTGGCCTTGTGTCACTGAGCAGGATCAAAGGAAGATCCTGGCGGTAAGGTGGCCTCTTCCCATCTTCTCTTGGGGTGCTGAGGAAGGAGGTGGCTGGGATGTGCAGGATGTCATGGTCAGGGCAAGAAGTGGAGCCTTGGGCTTCAAATTTTGCCAACTGAAGCAGCTTTTGGCAGCTGGATGCTTTCCAGGGTTTGTCCAGCGCCGAGCAAATGCCTCTGAAGAAATTGTTCTGTGGGTTTTTTGCTGGAGTTTTTGGGACCTGCCACCTCATTTGGCTCTGTCTCACCTATTCTTATTGGTACTGTGCTGTGGCCAGCACCAGAGGCAGGTTCCAGCTGCCAGAGTGACAGAGTTCTGTCTGTCTGGGCTCCTGTTTGAGTCTTTGGTGACTGCTCAATAGAGGTGAGAGAGTCCAGGCAGTGGCTGAAGTCGTTCAACCCTACGTGGGTTGCCTGGACTGGGGTGTCAGTGACATCTGAGAGGTCCTGGAATATCTCCTGGGAACACTGTGGTGGGCAGGGAGGGGTCTGTGTGAACTCCACCCTTCCTGGGCTCCCCAGGGTCGCTGTTGGAGGTGGTTGGGTTATGCTCAGAGCACGTTTCCTTTGCCCAATATAGATTTGGCATCATACGTTCACTTCTCACCCTAATAGATAAAAAGGTGAGGAGCCTTTTGGACTTTTTGGGTTGTTTCTATTTTGTTGAACCCACCCAGGGCAAGCTGGAAATGACTTTGGAGATCGTGGCAGAGCAGGAGCATGAAGAGCGGCCGGCGGGCGTGGGTCGGGATGAGCCCAATATGAACCCCAAGCTGGAGGACCCCAAGTAAGAGCACCTTGGCTGGAAAAGCAGCCAGCAGGGCACCGAGTTCTCAGGGATCAGTGGAAAGTTTGGTTCCCCAGTTTGAGGTCTGCCATCTGCAATGGGCTTGCTCCTGCCCAGGCTCTGTTTGTGACCAGCTGGAGCTCAGCCTGTGTGAGCTGAGATGCTCCAGGGTGGGTGGGAGGCTGGTCTGGACCACCAAGGAAGGTGTTTGGCATAGTCCATCCATAGGGATGAGGGTTTGCAGGGTGAGCTGGTCACAGCAGAGCCATACTCGTGGCGTGGGGGATCCAGGAGGGTGAAGCTCCCAAGTGACCCCACCTCTGCTTGGCTGCAGGCGCCCCGAGACCTCCTTCCTGTGGTTCACCTCCCCCTACAAGACCCTGAAGTACATCCTCTGGCGGCGGTACAAGTGGCTGCTCCTCCTGGCCCTCCTGCTCTTCATCCTGCTGCTCTTCCTGGGGATCTTCATCTACGCCTTCCCGGTACGAGGGGTGTGTTGGGGGGCCCCCAACTGCCCCCCCAGCTCCCTGTGCCCGACCTGCCTCTGCAGGGACAGAGGGCATCCAGCTGGACGTGGCTGCAGTGTCCCATGCTGGTGTGAGAAGCATCCTGGGGGACCATGCTGGGTCAAAAGGAGCCTGTGGTTCTGCTGCAGGCTCCCTGCACGGTGCCCTCCTGTGCTTCAGGCCGTGGCTAATGAAGCTGAGGTTAATTGGTTGATTTTGGAGGGGTTTAAGCAGTTGAGGGTTGATGTCCAGATGGAGATCAGGGACAAGTGGTGGCCCTCAGGGGTCTGTACTGGGACCAGTGTTGTTTCATACCTTCAGCAATGACGTGGTCAGTGGGGTCCAGGGCACCCTCAGCAGGTTTGGAGGTGACACCAGGGTGAGCAGTGCAGTTGATGTGTCTGAGGGGTGAGATCCATCCAGAGGGGCCTGGGCAGGCTTGAAGAGTGGGAGATGTGAACCTCATGAGGCTGAAGAAGGTCAAATGCAAGGTCCTGCACATGGATTGGAGCAACCCCTGGTATTAGCACAGGCTGGGGGTGAAAGGCTGGAGAGCA